TTTTCTCAGTTAAATGATCGAGAACTTTGATAGCAATTTCTCCTGACATTTGCTGCATTTGGAAAATTGTCCAAAAAAAGGCTAACTACACAAGTGAATGTATGAAGCATCGTGTATAATATCTTCATCTGCGGAATAAAGACAAAATGCTGGATTTAGGGTTAAGGGGGGGTGGGAAGCGTTTAACCTGGGATGGACTGAGAGAATAGTAGCACTAATTGTGGATTAATCCTACTGCAACTGAGATAAGCTTTGGATGTGCGGGTGACCTCGCCCGTGACTGGGCATGAATCTGCCTTGTGAACAAAGGTTATTGTTTATTGTACCCAATACGATAAACTACAGCTTGCTTTTAAGAGTTTTTTGAAGTTTTTATTATTTCTACTCTAATTATAAATTTCTAAATTGTACTTAATTTTTTAGATCTTATAGATACATATCTTTATTCCCCAGGGCCCCTATGGATACCGGCCTTGTTGCTGGATGGGCTACCCTGATTAAATAAAGTTAGTTACTTGCTTAATTAAATTCAGGAAATATTTCAACTACAATTTACGTGAATTTGTTGTTGTAAGATAAAGTCTGAATCAGAAGTTTGGAGCCAAAATGCCCATCAGTCCGGCGTTAATCTCCGGTTTCTGTAGCATGATTAAATTGTAGTGACTAGGACTATTTCTACTTCCCCTCTGGATGAGATGCTAGTCCATCGCGGGGTTACCCCCAACATTAAATTCCCCGGTATCCATTTATACACCTTGGTGGAGAGAGGCACTGTGAGAGTTAAGTGTCTTGCCCGAAAAAAACAACAACAACACAATGTCCTGCGCCAGGGCTCGAACGTGGACCGCTCGATCCGGAGGCGAACGCACTGACCACGAGATCACCGCTCCTTCACAAAGTTGCCGAGGAATACAAAATTCGTCCAGGTTTTATTCACTAAATTATTCGAAAGGAAATTGTTTTTATAGTTGACAAATTCTCATATTTAGGACTTAAAAAAATGCATGAAGAATTTTCGGGAGAATTTTCTTTATTTCAAAGTTACAAAACTCCTAACAAATGATCATTTGTTTCCTCTGTTTGGGTGGCTACTATTATATATAATGCCTGCTTCAGCATACCAGCCGGAATCATGGCAATTCAGGGAATTACAATATGCAATACTGGTTTAATGTGAATGGAATTGGAGAGGTCAGATGGTTTGTTGCGTTATTGAGCTCTTAACTCAGTCTAATTTGACCGATTTCTGTAGCTTTAAGCGGCAAGGAGAACTTTAAGCTTGTACCCCTGTAAGGGATGAGAGTGCATTGCAGCCTTTGTAGCCATCTACAAAACTATGATGAGGGGGAGGGGGAGACATACACTGTAGGCTTGCGCATCTTGAAATTCTTAGCCTAAAGTTTTCAAGTTCCTCGTCTGTAATCCGTGTCGATCTTCTCCTTCCTTAACAGTCCTTGTTCCTTTATGGTTTATTATCGTCTCTTTGGCGTTTTCTATCTTAGTTAACTAATATTTTCATGCTTCCTTCAGTTTAAGTGCAATTTTGTACACGCCCAAAATAACCTGACTGAGCTCGTTCATATTAAACCGGCTGGCGCTTGACTTCGGACCTCCCGGTCAGCCGACACCCTAAACGTACGTGACGGTTACGCATGGGTAAGAACCCTTATCAATGATAATAATGTGGAAAAAAATTGTTATTGTGGCTAAGACGAGTCAAAACATATCTGCGAACAGCTGGCGTGACAACTTTTGACTGATTTATTCGTTGATCCTAAGCAGTGTACATGTTGTATCGGAATTCTTTTGTTTGTGATCTCCTGACACAATGAGTGCGTTTCAAGTGGTGTGTTAACTTTTCAAATCACCAAGCCTTGACGCTTCGAGCTATCATTTTTGCTTTTGTTACGAAAGTTCTGCTTTGTTAAAAGAATACCTTAAACTGTATTCTATCAACAATTTTGTTATTGAACGCCTCGCTAGTTTTCAAAAGAGTTTTAAAAGAGCTCCAGCTTTCTTGGACAATTTCTGTTCATCATACAATGACCGTGATAAAGATTGAAAAAGATGTAATCTCAATAATCATAAAGTGCAGCATTCCTTTGCTCGAAAGCTGCATGTTGTCCAGGTGACGGACCCGACTGTTCATATACCCATACAAAACTGCACTGCAGAGATAACAATTTCATCAGACTCCGTATTAGTCGACAACGCGTAGACACTCGAACAAGGCAAGCCAAGCTAGTTTACCCCTGCTAACATTGTGTAAAGCGTTGCCGCGCTTACGGAGCTCCTTAACACGCCACGCAGCGGTTTTGCAATCATTGTCAGCTGTACAATGGTATTGTAATGACTCCTCCCCACACAGGTGTTCGTTAAGACTTACTTTGCATGACAATTTGGCTCTACTTGATGGCACGCTTAGATCTTTTGTTCTAGAACAGCTGTGGCACGTGGTAGCATGTCCCTCGCATTCCGCCGCTAAGTTTATTTGACTTTGTTAACGAGCGCGTGTCGTTTTTCAAATATTCGCTCGCGAATTCAGATCTGATCAGCTACAAGTGCTTCATCAGTTCACAGGAGGAAACTATTTAAACTATTCAGTAACGTTTTCGGGTAACGATGACGAGTAACGCTGACAGAAATGGATTTATAATGCGCACGGCATTGTGCGTCACGCCGATTAAGTGCACACGTGCCGTTTCTAATACCTTTAAGGTGTCTTTAAGAATCCTATCACCCAATATCGACGCAGTTGTTTTTCTCTCTAAGTTTAATGTTTTCTAACTTATTTGGCGTTTTTTCTTGTGATTTGAATCTGCGCTAATATCATCAAAAGCCTGAATGGCGTCAAACTTGTCGTTAAATGAAGCTTACGATAAAGTTTGCGTGTCCTTAGGCATACTTTGTTATTCATACAGCCATTGTTTTAAAAGCCATGTGTGCGCTTTTGTTTGCAGACGAAAGCTAATGTAAAGAGTATTAGTATTGATGTTTTTCTTTTTATATGCAAATTCAAACAACTCTTAATGAACTGGAAATGCTAATTTCGCTTTGGAAACCACGCTACTTGAAAGGGTGGCTTTCTTTCAGCTAGTTATTGCAAAATAGATATTATATTAGATATTTGTTTCTGTTGTCTTGAAACGCTTTTATTTTTCAAAAGGACGCAGCCACAGCTACAGGCTTTCCCGCCGCATATTTGCTGCTACATCCAAATCTATTAATTTTCTGCTGCGACAGATGCATCAATGCCATGTACTTAGCAGTTATTATAAAGCGTTAGCTCAAGTTCGTCTTGATCTTATGAGATTCACCGGAAAATTGTCTGAATATGCTAATATCTTGTGAACCTGATAAAGAAGTTTCCGTGTCATGGTTACGTATTACTTAATTGCCTCTGGCAATATTTGAAGCCAACCACGTCTCATTCATAGTCGAGAGAATAAAACGCATTCTCATTTCACGGTGCTGGGCACGAACGACATTGTGTTTTTCTACAAGCTTTTCCCGCCTTTTTACAATAGATAACGGCGTCAGGCGCGTGGTGAAAACTTGATCGTGACACGCGCGAGGTTTGCGGTGACAAAAAAATTTGAAAAGCTTATTTTATAAGGCCGTAAAAAGCGTGCCGCTATTTAAGTGTGCATGATATTATTCTTAATTGATGTGGTAAAGCTGAAAACGCAGATTAAAAAAAAAACTAACATTAATTTCAATTCTCTCAGTAGCGTGTAATTATATGTCGGCTACATGTATGAAATAACTCCAGTGAGGATCATTGCCATATGATCTTAGAAAAGACATCACGCACTATATTAAACTTAACAGTAAAACCTCGGCGCTCTTTGTCTGTATGTTCCTCCAGTAGCTGAGGAGTGGTCAACCTCCGAGTCGCTCCCTGGCGTAATAAAGGTTATCGCAAATTGTTTTCAAAGACGTCAAGACATCGTGGACTCTTCCTTAAATCTACTCGTTGATGTTCCCTGTGGTGAGCCGGATTTGATCTTATCTTCTCAAACAGAAAAAATTCTACCAAGAGGTCAGGTCACCACTTCACGAGTTGGTATTTGTTCAGATCATTAGCATACCGTGTATTTGAGAGGAGTGTGAACCGCAGCTCTATCTGTTCCGTGCATCAATGTTTGTAAACGGGTCCGAGCGAAGAGTTCTACGAGTGCAGGCTTGAAGTTGTTCACCACTTCCGTCTTTAGCCTCGCTAAAGATATCTGAATTTCCACAGCCATTCCAAGTGTTTTTATACGCTCTGATCCTCACCATTTGGTTTCTCGACTCTTCTATACACAGCTCACGTACTCGTTTGTGTTGCATCCAGGAATCGGAACTGGTTCCACAGCATTTTTAAGCAGCTTGTAATTAGCAGCAATTAAATTCGTATTCCATTCATGACACGCGCCAAGCTCATTAGAAGCTATTCAAGCGATACGTGTTGCGAAATGCAGTCTGTTTTTAGGAACATCAGGGGCTGTCAGCGAGTGAAAATGTTCAGTTGTTTTCGTTTTCTCAGCTAGTTCTTGATCTCTTGGCCTATGCATGCCTTTTACAACCTCATTTTGCGCTGATCAATTTATGGGGACAGGTTGCAGCGGGTTCTATGTGGGTGGCCTGTCAGTTTGGAATCCTGCAAAAAGAGATCAAATGCTATACTGCTATTCAAAAAACTTTAATTATTCGCTGATCAGCTTCCCTTGTTTGACCCATGTGTAGCCTTGTGTGTTTTCCTCAAGAGACTGGCTTGGCGTCTATTGCCAATAAAACAAGCGAAACGCATAACCATTCTTCTCGCGACTTAGTGGCACGCGCCGGGCTCCATTGTTTGTTCTGTCCCATATTACCATTTGTTAAACGCAAACCACATTATTTAGTTTGGCCTTTTCCTGTAAACATTTAAAATCCTTTCGTCGCATTGTAACAAGCCGCTTGTAGCTTGAAAGTAAAAACATATTAAAATACTAGACAATGATTGTATTTCGGCGCAGGTATTAGGAATTGTCTGGCTTTCTGCAGGTGGATTTTTAGATATTAAAATCTCTCACAACCTATGGCCTTTTTCTTTTACTGCCTTTCGCCCTTCAATATACTTTCAACAGTGCCATTTAATAAATGTATTTCATGTCAAAATTGTCCCCGGCTTAAGGCGATGATGACCTCTCACGGATTATCCGCAAGGTTGATACGCCGATTAATTATCGCATAAAAAATTGAAGACAACTTCAAAACGACTGCTGTAAGAGACCAACTTGAAGAAACGTGATATCTCCTCAGCGCCACAACAGGAGCAGTCCTGAAAGATTTCGTAGAGCTAGAAATAATTTGTCTTGTAGAAAATTGTTTACACTACTCTTCGGTTTAGCCAATCAACACCAATTATGCTAGCGATAAGTGTACCCATGGGTATCATGTTGCGTCATTAATTAAACTACGCATGCTCATTAAGATTACCGCACCCCCAACAAACTACATCTGTCTTTTGCCTTATTCTAATCACACAGAGTCGTATGATATTTGCAAGTGAGCTGAGCTCCATCGCATCGAGAGGGCGGCTTTTCATGTCGCACGAAGACGAGCACCAAATTTCGGCCGCTATTCCAAAGGCTACACTAAATTCTAGATAGTGATTTTAGCAATGGCCTCGGGCCTGCTTCTGAAAAGCTTATTTTTCGAAGCCTTACTCCAATTCATTCATGTGCAGGTTAGACGGTGTGCTAAGTGGTGAATTCTCGTGTTTTGGTCAGGTGTAATGCCGTGGCCTGCAATTTTTTTGTCTACTTCGCAACGCAGATCATGAATTTGACTTGTTTTCCTTTTTCGCAGACTGCCTTCGGCGCGGGATCGTTCGAAGTCCATTTGGTTTCGATTCAAAACATTGGAGGTGAGAAATTGGACGGAGGATGCTGTGATGGGAGTCGCACAATATATCGGGGACAACATCAATGCCTGGACGAGTGCGATACATTCTTTAGGGTTTGTCTCAAGCAATACTCCCAGTCTGCTTCGTCAACCGGCGCTTGTACATTTGGCGAGCATACTACTGCTGTTTTAGGAGGCAATTCGATAACCTTCACGAACACTTCATCAACGAATGGTTTTCGCAACCCGATTTCTATACGCTTCACGTTTTCATGGCTGGTAAGTCATTTTATATCCTCTTGGAAATTATTTAAGAACAGCGAGGGTGCTGCTGCCACTCAGTTAGAGTAGTCCCGTTATTTTTTAAAAATCTTCAGAAAATTCAACGTAATAATGTAGATTAAATTTATGCGGAGATTCACGCAGATGGGATATATTTTTCAATAATAAAAATTTAATGTAACCGCGTCTAACAGCCGCTTGTAACCTGAAAACAGAGCTTAGTAAGGAAATGGTCCGAAGTTTTTTCAGGAATTTTTTTTTTTGCGAGGGTATATTTATCGCTAAAGCGACCGCTGCGCACACGCTCGCGCGAAAACAATCATTTCACTCTAAGTTTGCATTTCAAAAAATCATTTCCTCTCATTGGCTCTCGGAAGCCACTCGGAGAAGCACGTTCATTTCACAGAATCGACAACTACGTCTTGGCTAAAAATCTTAACATTAAATACAGCTGCAGCTATTTAAACAACCTTGGCTGGGCTGAGATTGTTGGCCGCATATTTCCTTGGAGTGCATCGCCTTATACAATTTCAACGTTGTTTATCATAGCTTGTAGTGTAGTTTTTGAGCCACGTGTCTTCCGTTTGACAGCCTTTTGTGCGAATTATGTTAATTGATATGAGTTACGTTGTATTTGCAACACAATGATAAGTACTGACTGGAAAAAAAATTAAAGAATTAGTGTTCGTGCCGCATGGCGGAGACGCGATTTATTCATTCCGACCGGTCTCTTCACCTGCAGTGAAAACGAAGTGTTGTGGATTTCCGTGTTGCCACTTGAATACATGTAGATTTCAAGAAATTAACGCAATGCGAAACTGTTTACTTTGAACTTTCCCACGTTCATCAGGCCTGAAAATAAATAATTTTCTTTACGTTACTTCGTAGCTACTGAAAGTATTACGATGCAATTAAACTTTCAATTGTGAGCATGTTCTAGTGGTATGACGGGTTGCCCAGGGAGTTAATCTTCGCCCGGACTCTTTCGACATTGTTTGATCACATTTCGTGGGTTCCTCGATCAACGCAAGATTAAACCGCGATCTTTGCGGTGGCAATTTGTTGATTTCATTGAACTTTTTTTTCACCTTTTCTGTTCATTGAATGAAAAGTGACACATGTGCCTAATTATTATGTCTTGGAATATAATTAATTCTATTCGCAGTTGACAGGAAAAATGAGAATATTTTTGTTTTGCTTTTTCTCCGCGAAGCTTAAAGATAGATCGGTTAAGAGTTTATAAGAAAGAAGATGGAAAGGTTAATTCGGTTTAATTTGTAAGTTTGCTGCCACTGTAAAATTGTTTGGGTCATCCTGTGTTTTTGTATTAACTTTCTTTTTATGTCTGCATGGTGCCAGATTGTGCATAAAGAATGGAAATCAAATTCCACTCAAAATGAATTAATCCTTAACTCGTAGAACCTTGTGTTCTTTGTGGTTTTTGTCCTCTGCTTGTTGCATTATTTAATGTCTGATGTCACATTGTGACAAAGAGTCAAACCAAAATATAATATTCATAGCAGTGACTGTGGGAAAACACAAATTAAGTTCTTGGAGTGTTTCAAGTCCTTTTTGAACTTATCTTAAAACCTTTAAAAACTGTCTGCCTGTAATTTGATATTTCTCTTTCTTCTCATTGAATTTTAGTATTCAATTACAGTGTTATTTGTGTCTTGTTTGCCTTAACATTTAGTGAGCTTGTATCACCGATACAGAAATCTTTGGTCTTTCTTCTGCGATCATGAGCATCACCTGATTTCTTCTCAAAGTTCCCACACTCAGTTTAAGATTCAAATATTTGTAAAGTTTCTTAGAGGTAGCCAAAATATATCAAACCTTTTTTTCCAGAGCTAATTGAATATTCCTTGTAAGTCAAGAACAATCTCCTCACTTTATTCCTGATAAGAATGAAGATCTCAGATCATTAGTCTCACTGAAAGACTAACAATATTGTGTCCTGTTTAATTTTAATATTGTTTCATTTAATATTTAGGTTTCAGTTTTCTATTTTTAAGATTGTTTCTGTTGAGAACTATATACAATCAAGGTATATTATATGGAATCATGGAACCAGGCTTCTCATGTTAGTTGAAGTAAGCTGGTTGCATGCTTCATATTTTGTTTCTTGAGACAAGTTTTCGTTGCACACTATTTTGTGATATTAATACCACCAAACAGGTTTTCTTTTACATGTTACAAAAGTATCTCAAAGTAACTTTGTAAAGAAAAATATCTAGATTCCTTATTTATCCTGTTGGTTTTGTGTTAGTTTTATTGAAATAATAGTTTCTCTTTTCTTAGGTAAACAATTTGGGAAAAAACAAAAATCAATCGTATCTCTTATTTGTACAGTAAAAATTTATTCAGCTGTCAAATGTAGCTTGATCCATTTTCTTTACAAAAGAGATCTGTTGTGTGGAAGTATTGTGTTCGGTAGCTTATATTGTTGTTTAAGGTTTTGTTATTGCAACACTTCAACAAGCACTGAAATTTTACTGACTGCAAATCTTGTTCCTTACCATAAATTCAAAATCGGCATTGTTGCCGTGACAAACATGCCTACAAATAAGATTGGATCTTAAAACAGCATTCGAACTTGGCCCCTTCTTGTAAACATTTCTGTTAATAAGATCTCTGGTAGCGTTTGTGACACCTAAGCAATGTTTGGCATCCCAGGTGCCAACTGATTCTCTCAATTCTTCCTAAATTCAATTAGGAGAACCACAAAAATAGTACCACAAGATAACATCACTTACACTTTCTTTTAAAAAAGTTTGTCTGTCCTACAGCTTAAAACCAAAATTACCTCCTTAATAGACCCAAACTTTTAAGAATTTCTGTTCTAGCAGGTTACCCTTCACACGAGCTTTAAGTAGTAAGTTTGTTTCAAGTTAACTGCAGAAACCTCTTGCAGGAAAACATCCACCTTTTCTAGATTGGCCATGAGATGTAATTTAGAGATGAATTTTATACATCTTGTTATAGGCATTCTCAACTATATATGTAACTTTCAATTTTGATTCAGATATAAAGGTGATATTTTCTATTACAAGGGTTACTACCAAATTAGATAAACTGCTTGCTGCGTTATAGAATATATTTTTTGTCCCACAGCACACAGGCATAAAATTCCATAAATAATGAATTTCTGCACTCAGAAACGGTGAGCTAAATTTCCTCCAGTTTGTTTGAAATATGTTTTACTCATCCAGAGGTTTTTGGCATATTTGCATCTCTGAACATGCCCAGTAGCTTTCCGTTAATGATATATTTTATCTAAAAATCTTGTAGCATGAAAACTCTTGTTTGTGCAAATAAATTGAATGGCTGAATAACATATTGGTAAATACTAAATTTTTAATCAGTAAAATAATAGAAAAAAATGGATACAATTTAAAGAATATCTTGTATTTTGTGTTGGTAGCGGCATGTAACTTCAAGAAATGCACTTCTTCAGTTTGAGAAGAGTGCAGAGTTGTAATTTTTTGTCTTAAAATTGCGTTGTTGCTATTCAAAGTGAAGATTGCATAAAACACAGAATGGAATAAGTGAATTGGGGGAGATTTTAACTTTTGCAAAAAATTCTGTCTTTGTGATCTTAATAGTAAATTTTTGTCCCAAGGTAAAGTAAGGATAAAATGTGAAACACATGTACAGTGGTGGCAAAAAGTATCATATTGTTCAATAAAAGTCATATATGGTTCTATTTGTTTATTTAAAAAACAATTATAATAATAAAATACATGACCGTATGACTTGGTATATGGTTTTGTGAGTGGTTCAGCTATATATTTTATTTGAAAATAGTCATTCAATCTATTGATATTAAATTTCCCTTTTTTTAATATAATTTCTTTCCAAATGTGCATAATCTTCTGGCTGCTTCGTGGAATTTTCATTAACGAAGCTGAAAAAATAATTTTTAAACATTGCCCAATATATTTTACAGCTGTCTCTTAGAAATTTGAAAAATTTAAAATTAGTTTTAGACATATGACTCATCCTTTGACAAAATATGATTTTTAGTTTTAGTAGTAATAATGGAGAAAAGTAAAGGATATTGTCTTTTTTTATTCTCATATTCAAAGTTAAGACATTAAGTTTTCTTTTTGTTTTAATAAAAAAGCTGTAATTCTTCTGTCTAATGGGGCTTTTAAGTTTCAATTTCTGAATGGCAAGTGGAAGGAAATAGCTTTTATTGTGCATGATGTATTGTCATTAACTGACCCAAATAGTAATTTGTCATGCAATTGTTTTACTTAGATAGCAGTGCTTTCCTTTATTTCAGACAACTTACTACTTAAGTCTGGAAGCTTGGGATGCAGACAACTCAAGTAAGAACCATTACGTGCTAAAAATGTGAAAGTGTGGTTTGCTATTTCTTGCATGACCAAGCCTACGTTTTTTATTGTGTTGCCATAATGAAAAGCTGCATTAATATATTGTTACTATAAATCTAGTTGTCATGCAAACATCTTCTCAAGAATGTTCTCCTTGGACTTACCCTCACTTAGTATGATGTGATTTCCCACTTTTAATTGTCTGATATCTTTTGCTTGGAAATTTCCCACATCATTCTGCAGAAATAGATATTAAATGTTTGACATTAGAAGTGCTTTTATTTTGATTTGAATGCATAAAAAGGAATGATAAAGCCAGACTTGTGAGCCTCTCTATCTATTTTTTTGGATTAACATCCAAACCAGACAGCAGATTTCAGCTGCAAAATTTGTATGAATATGATTAAATGTGAACCAAATACAATATGTCTTGCATTAGCTGTTGTAAAAAATAAATGAGATATCTCTTTGAGAATGTTGTTGAGAGAAAATTTATAGTAAAGTAGTTTGTTTTGTTACTAATTTTATTCTTAAATAAACTTGCCATGTTGTGTCTAATAGGCAACAGTGAACTGATTGACAGAGCAACTCAGCGTGGTACAATTCTTCCTAACAAGACCTGGGAGACTCATACATACAATGGCCCTGCAGCTACCATTAGATACAAGCTCAGGGTGGTCTGTGACGAAAACTACTATGGAAAGAGTTGCACAAAATTTTGCCACCCCCGAAACGACATGTTTGGTCATTACACCTGTGATGAGAACGGGAACAAAGTGTGTATGGCTGGCTGGAGAGGAAAACATTGCGAGATAGGTTCGTGGAGTTTTGATATCACCCGCGCCATAGCCTGAGACTGCCATAGACTGAGTTGATGTCCATGAGTAAATTCTCTTCCAAAGTATTTAGCAGCATGTTACTTTTCCCTTTCAACAAGAAAACCAGCAAGAACAGAAAAAAAAAAAAAAAACTGACAGAGGCAAGTGCTCTGGTTTGCCCCATACTGGCTACAGTCGTGATCACTAAGAGCACGTAACTTGAAAAAAGTTGATATAATGTACAAAGTCTACAATAAGTAAGCTTATTATGCTGGTACTTGAGTGGCTGTTGCTGAACCCAGAATTTCATTTCTTTCAGCCATCTGTAAAACAGGTTGTGATCCAGTTCATGGAACTTGTAGTGTTCCTGGAGAATGCTCGTAAGTCCTTCTGTTGAGTACTTTACATATTCTACTAATAGTGAAAAAGGTTAAGTCTGCATACGAGCCCAGTGACCCATCAGGCTGGAGCTTATCCCGGTTTCTGTAGCATGAAACAGCTAGGAATATTTCTATTCTCCCTCGTATGGGATGCTAGTCCATCGCAAGGTTACCCCCAGCATTAAATTCGCCGGTACCATTTCTACACCTGGGTGGAGAGAGGCACCATGAGAGTAAAGTGTCTTGCCCAGGAACACAACACAATGTCCCCATCCAGGGCTCGAACCTGGACTGCTTGCTCCGGAGTTGAGCGCACTAACCATCAGGCCACTGCGCCTCCCATTTTACCAATAGTAGTCCATAGTTTTACACCATCGGGTAGATTTTTTAATCATCTTGCCACTGTTTCAGGTGTAGGGCTCAGTCTGGCTGGGGTGGAGAACTTTGTGACCAGTGCCAGTTGTTTCCTAGCTGTGCCCATGGAACTTGTAGCCAACCATGGGAGTGCAACTGTCAGCCTCAATGGGGAGGATTACTTTGTGATAAAGGTAACAAGAGCTTTGGACTCTTAATTATCTTTTGTCGAAACATTTAGGTTTGCCTTCACCATCAGATTTGTCGTTACTCTGTCACTCATATATCAAATGGCAGAGTTATTTTATGTTTTCCTTTGCAGGAAGGTATTAAAATAATCTGAAGCTAAAATAAAATTGAAAATTTTTGATACAGATCTCAACAAATGCAGAGAGAAACCCTGTCAAAATGGAGGTATATGTTACAACAATGAGGAAGGAGGTTCATACAGATGTGAATGCCAAGAAGGATTTACTGGAGTTGACTGTGAAACAGGTTAGTCTCCTGAAGGGATTGTCAAGGGACCCCTGTTTTTTAAACCCAATTAATTTTCAGCCTTCCAGTTCCTATGGGTTACTTGTGTTGAAACTAAGAAACACTTGTGTTTTTGTTATAGCAATAAACTTCTGTGCTTCGTCACCATGTAAGAACAATGGAACATGCCACAATGATGCCAATGACTTCCGCTGCACTTGTCCTGCTGGATGGGCTGGGAAAACTTGTGAAATAAGTAAGTGAACATAACAACAAATCTGGCAAATCTGTGTGTCTCACACGTGCATGCAGAATTACTCAATGGACACCTTTTTTGCTAACTTTATCAATTAGGTAGAGACTGCCAGACTCAATCCTGCCAGAATGGAGGGACCTGTAGCGACAGTGGTCAGGGGTATAAGTGTCAATGCCCTCCGGGATGGACAGGACACATGTGCGAACAGGGTAAGCCTATTGTGTTGTGAAGTTGACCAAGCTCCACTCTGACTGAAACAAACGGACAGCATGTCATTATTTTTTTTTTTTCATGATTTCAGTTGTATCCTTACAGTTGTTGAGCGTGTTGTTATTATTTTTTGCACAATTCCAGTGGTATTCTTATACATGTAGTTCTTGTTTGTGTTCTTGTTCAACAGTTGTTGATGAGTGTGCATCAAATCCTTGTTCTAATGCTCTCAAATGTATTGACCTGATAAATGACTACGCCTGTGAGTGTCAAGCTGGATGGAAAGGAAGCCACTGTAATGAGAGTGAGTATCTTCATTCCATTCTGTCGTGGGATGCTGAGCGTCTTATGCACTGTAGTCATGACATCACATTACATTAGGGCTGATCCGCACTAGCAGACAATTGTCCGTGTCAAAATCTCTCAAATTCATACTATTACAGTTCTTTCTCAGGGTTTTTTTTCCTTTCTGGTAATGCCTTGCACAATTAGTCAGGTTTCATGTTACTTATATGTTTATTTTGATTTTTGCAGGTATCAATGATTGTGCTGGTCAATGTCACAATGGTGGAACTTGTGTCGACTTGCTGAATGATTACAAATGCAACTGCCCTAGTGGATTTACAGGAAAGAATTGCGAGACCAACATTGATGACTGCCAAAGCAACCCCTGCTTAAATGAAGGAGTGTGTAATGATGGTGTTCAAAATTATACCTGTGTTTGTAAAACTGGATTTACTGGAAATGACTGTGGAGTCGACATCAATGAATGCCAACCTTCACCTTGTGTCCATGGAACATGCTCAGATTCAATTAATGACTACAAATGCACATGTAATGCTGGATATACTGGTAGAAATTGTTCGGTGGTATCAACAGCAAATGTTTGTGACCCATACCCTTGTCAGCATGGAGCTACTTGTGTTAAGAATTCTGATGATTCAAGTACTTGTCACTGTTCACCTGGATACACTGGGGCATTCTGTGAAACTGACGTCAATGAGTGCTTAACTGCGCCATGTAATAATGGTGGAACATGTGTGGATGCTGCCAACGGATTCAAATGTGTTTGCCCAGCGGGTTTTTCAGGATCAACTTGCCAGATTAGCTTGAGCTCTTGTTTGAGCTCCCCTTGTCACAGTTCTGCAACTTGTGTTGATAAATTGGATGGTTATGAATGTGTATGCGCTGCAGGATTCACTGGCGTTAATTGTGATTATGACGTGAATGATTGTGGTAGCTTGAATCCTTGTCGGAATGGAGGAACATGTTTGGACAGACTTAATGGCTATCAGTGTCAATGCAGGTAAGATCTGTTGTAACAATCTGCGAATAGCGTGCTATTGAGGGAAATAATCTTTTATTGTCGCTGCCAACATTTCCTGAGGAAAATAATTAATTTCATAGGCAAAATTAGTCATTATGCAAATGAAAAAACATTTTTTAACTAGACTACAGTGTTAGAATTATATACATGCAAATACTGACAGCAAAAGTAGCTTTATATCTTTGCCCTAAAAATTTGTCTTTTCTTCACAGGCCAGAGTTTACTGGAGCTGAATGTGAGGTCCCTCTTAATACATGCACCAATAGTTCATGTTCCAACAATGGTACGTGTATCCAAGGTTCTGGAGTGTTCACTTGCAGCTGCCTTCCTGGCTTTTCTGGACAGAGATGTGAAACAAAGATCGACGCTTGTGACTCCAACCCCTGTCACAATGGTGCAACTTGCCACAGTCGTTCTGGTGGCTATGCCTGTTCTTGTGCGGTTGGGTTTACTGGCAGTAACTGCGCTGTGAGAATTGATTATTGTGTCAACCTCACTTGTGCAAATGGTGGTACTTGTAACAACGGTTTGGTTGGAGCATCCTGTAACTGCATACCAGGATTCACTGGGCAACACTGTGAGGTCAATATTGACGAATGTCTGTCAGGTCCATGCCATAATGGAGGTCGCTGCATGGACAAGAACAATAGTTTTCATTGTGTGTGTCCTTCAGGAACAAGAGGGAGGTTTTGCGAACAGGGTATGCAATAAGATACATTCATGGCTTCATTATTCACCTACTTATTTGCATCATTAACTGCCCTTTCTTGATCCAAGTGTCATATCAAGATGTTTGGACAGCGATGTCAGGCAACTGACGTCCATTTATTTCTTTTCAATATCCCAGTCTACAGCTTTGATTTATTTCGGTGTACCATAGGTGTTTCTGGCATCATGAAAATTTTATGTCGTGTCTTTTATTGATTCTTAATAATGCTCCCTTGGTTCTGCTTCAGCCTCCTCCCTCTACCAAAACCACCACTTCCTTATTCCAATTTCTTCAGTTATACAGGGCTCATGATGGTGTAACTTTACAGCGCTCGAGCTGACTGTGCTAACCATTTTCATTTCCTTTTTTTCAGTGATTGATCCTTGCTTGGAACCCTCCTTAGTTAATGGATCCTCAGTGCTGGGGGATTCTGGAGTGTGTGGTGAACATGGTACCTGTGAGTCACTGTCAGCTGGAAATTATCAGTGCAGATGTGACAAAGATTACACAGGGAACCGCTGCCACAAAAGTAAGTGTATTTTGTGTTAACTGAAGGATAAAAAGTTGTTCACCTCGGTTTATTTCAAGGTTATGATATGAAGATCTCTCTTGATTAGTTTTTTTTTCACTGTTTTCAGAAATTGATAATTGTGAAAACATCACATGTGAGAACGGTGGAAGCTGCCTTGATGGCATTGAATCGTTTACGTGTGTCTGTGCTGATGGGTGGGAGGGCAATTTCTGCGAGCAAGGTATGTTGGCTTTTGTTAATTTTATGTTCATTGTTAAGGCAAGCTAGAGAAGTCTTACTGTTAATAAATCCCTTGAATAACCTTACAGGTCAGCCAGTAGTATGCATGGAAAACAAAGTTCCCCATTGTCTCGTGCGCAACTTATTGGTATTGTTCCCATTTTGGTTGTAGTGGGCAAGTTAGCCTACTTCTAAAATTAAGATTTACTGAATTCTGGCAGTGTCTGTTGCTTTATTATCAGCCTGCTAAGAGGCTTTCCTTCAAAGCATTTGGTGTGGAATGTTCTCTTTAAGCTCATGTTGGCTTTCCTCTTTGCGACAGATATTAATGAGTGTAGTTCCGATCCTTGTCGAAATGGCGGGAACTGTACGGACTTGATCAATGGGTTTATTTGCAAGTGCCCTCAGCCATGGAAAGGAAAACTGTGCCAGTCAAGTAAGTATCTGTAGATATTCTTGTAACATTCTGTGTGTGCCTAGCCAACGGGGTAGAGAATTTACTTTTTCTGTTGTAAGTAAAACGGCACCTTAATTTAGTTTGAGTTTAATTAATGACTTCGTTTCAACAGCTACGTCTCATTGTAATGGAAGCCCTTGTCAAAATGGAGGCAAATGCACCGACACAGGAGACAACTTTCGCTGTGATTGTCAGAATGGATTTTCAGGAGTGATCTGTCAAATAGGTAAGACGCGATTCATTTTGATTTATCGACTGTTTGTTTTTTAGCTGGCGTTCTTGTTTTTCGTATTATTTGATTGCCATGTTTTTCAAAACTGGTGGTCTTGTTTTCTATGCCTTCTCAAACACTAGAGCCACCCGTGGAAAAACGAATTCATTACGAGCTAATCAATCGTTTTGCACAGAAGCACTAGAACCCGCTTCGTTTTTCTCTTTGTGTTGCTAATGAACACCTGTTGTCCCCTTTCATCAGTTTGTGGCTTCATTGTTTTCATATCGTAAATCAAACGCGGTAACATGTGCTCTTCAATTACTCTTCACACATTGTGTGCGCTTTTGTAGAATTCACTGTGGCGTCGACTATGAATTCTATTTTTCTTTTATTTTTGAAATTTTTTTTTCAAAGCGTGCGTCTTTAATGTTAATGAACGACGCATTACTCAAAACGTGCTCGGCATTTGGATTTTCAAAACGGAAAGAAAGCCAAATGACTGTAATTGAATTGACAATAGCTAGTGGTACGTTGTTGTCGAGCTATCATGTCACGATCTTGATGATGATGTCTCCACACTTTCATTAAGTTGTTGATGTGTTCATTGTTTGTGCCTGAAATTTCCTGTCATTGACGCAAGTGGAAGCGTGTCTCCAGCCATTTCCTGTCCAATCTCATAACTGCGTTTTAGCCTCAACTTTTGTAATTAAAATCACGGGTTAGATGTTTATCTTAGAAGCACACTTGACCAAAGTATTTCCTTTTAAATTAGGAAAAATCTATCTTCACAGATTCAATTTGCACTCAAGATAATAAGGTGGTAATGGCTTGGAAATATCTGTGCACTTTATTTTGCGCAAAAGTTTTTGCTGGCGTCAAGACACGGAAAGCTTTTCGACAGAATGGGCGGCAGATTTTTCACGTTGTTTATTGTCGTGGTTGGGCAAATGATGAGGTTTAAGATAGAAGCTTAGTCGGTATTTTCAAACATAGACTGAAGTAGGCAGAAACCGCAATTAAAATTGCTTGCTCTTCCACGCATGCCTAATGTTGTGTGTGCTATTGCTTCGTTATTTAGCACCCAAGCCGTGCTCGTCCAACCCATGCCAGAATGGCGGCACGTGTTTGAATTCAGCGGATGGCCACAGTTTCTCATGTGTTTGCTCCGATGTCTGGGAAGGAAATCTTTGCGAGAAAAGTGAGTATTTGGAACAAAAAGAGAAAAAGTGGGCAGTTTTGCGAGAAAATATCATTTTATAAGATCAGGGAAAAAGTGGAAAATGCAGTTGACTTCTGTCAGGAAATATCTGAATGAATGGAAGACTTTATTTCAGTGTCGATGGTATTTAGCTTAAAAAAGAAACTTATTGGGGACACTATATATATATATTTAAAAAAAACAATCACAGAATTATATTTTAAGGTTGCTTCAGCTTTTACTACCAAATACTAAATATTTGCTTTGCGTTTCAGATGTTGACGATTGTGCTTCAAACCCCTGTCACAATGGCGCTACATGTATTGACGGAAAAGGCTGGCATTTGTGCAACTGTGCGCCTGGATTCACCGGACCAGTTTGTAAAATCAACATCAATGAGTGTAACTCGTCACCGTGCAGCGATGGTGCAACATGCAGAGATAAAATCAACGGCTTTGAATGCATCTGTCCCCCGGGAAAATTCGGAGCACGTTGCCAGGGTAAGATTGGCTGTAACGTGTGGCCATAGTTACTAGAGGGAAATGGTTACGAAACCTGGCAAAGTTCTTAGTTTGCTGTATGTTTTTCCTGGCCATTTTGGGGTTGCTCTGCACAAAACCTGGCAAATACAAAAGGTGGTTATATGTGTTCATACAACTAACCGATAGAACCATTGCGATTATGTAATTGATGCACAGTCTGTGAGCATAAAGCAAAAGATGTGCAGGGTCAAGGACTTCCGAACATAAATCTTAGCCTGTTTGTTTGCTTCGTTGATGTTTACCAGGCTTCTTAACTATTTCCCTCTATTAACTATGGTGTGACGTATCTGTTAAAAGCGGAATCCGCTTTCTCTATTTACACTTAGCTTCGATAATCTTGATCTCTTATTGTGATCCCTTGCATGTGGAAATCTCGCAACAGTGTCGACGATCCCAGCTTTAAAAAGTTTATCATGTAGTTTGGCACAAAGCGAATAGCAAAAGTTGAATCTAAAACAATGACTGTCTTTCTTCCAGATGACGAGCACGACTGGAGGCACTGCCGTCTACCTGGTGGAATCATCCTTCAGCGGCACAATACCGACGTGCAAGAAGACTGCAACACGTGCTCGTGCGTCAATGGCACACGCACGTGCACTAAGGTCGTCTGCGGTGCGCACAATTGCTGGAATCACACTCAAGCTGGCGGCTGTCCCACTGGCGAGGTCTGCGTACCGAAAAAAGCGGTCGACTGCCTTAGTCCCCCTTGTGGTCGATGGGCCGAGTGTGAAGGCGGGGCGACAAACTCTAAGCAAAGTGATTCTGGAATTGGCGACGAAGTGTGTCTTCCTAACAGTACGGACTTAAATGGCGACTGTGCAAAGATCCACATTGTGTTTAGGCGGGGTAAACTTCCCAAGGTTAGTAGAATGCATCTGGGTAAATTTACTGTGAAAGCTTACCTGTGATGTGAAGTTTATATGAATTATTTCATATAAACTTCACATCATTTCACTCCTCACGGGAAGATATGAACTCAACTAATAGACCTCGCTCCCAATGTGTGGCTTCATAGCTCAGTTGGTAGAGCATCGCACCGGTATCGCGGAGGTCACGGGTTCGAATCCCGTTGNGTTCGAATCCCGTTGAAGCCCTGATTTGTTTTTTTCAGGCTTCTTCTTTCCAATTGCTTAAATTGGAAAATTAACTGCGATGATCATTCTTCACTTTAAAGCTTACCTGTGTTACCCGGTAGCCATCATCATCATCATTATTAGATACGTCTTCCCTTCAACGATGTCAGACTTTATTTTAAAATAATTTTCACCTTTCCTGTCAACAGGGAACTCTCGTGGAAGAACTCTGCCACCAGTTACGATATTTGCCGACGTTGAAGAAATGGGCAAGGAAGGGGAACATTCGATTACTTTGCGAGGGCCGCGATAAGGATGGCACCATCTCCACTGTCATTGTATCAGTGGTAAGTTAGCAAGGTGTTTCAGTTCTTAACCCTGTTATCCCTAGTAATCAACCGCTGGACGTAACGCTGTCACCCCTAGCTCAGATGCTGGGGTTCTTCCTGAGTAGAGCGTTACTCAAGTTTTACAGGGTGCCTCAATATCAGTTTGCCTTCTCCCGTTTTTTATTCGTGTAAAAGACATTGTGAACATGAGCTAAGTTAGCAAGAACGTAGACGTATTTTTGCGAGTTATTTTTCTTCGAGTCACCCCTTTGCGTTTTGGCTCGGTTATATCCCTTGTGGTTAATATTTTTCTTGCTATCTGGACGAACTCAAGACAAAGTGGAGGGTCTGTGAACAGACTACCAAGAACACAATACTTTATCTCTGATTCCAAAGCTTAACGCAGTCTTAAATCAATATCATTTCTTTTTTTCTTTCTCTAGGCCAGTACTCCGCGCACGGAGATAGCTGGAAAAGCAGCTGAAGATATCGCTAGATTCATCCGAGCTGTACCTTCTGATAAAGGCCGTGAAATAAACATCACTCTTTACAATGTACTCATAGCTGTGGATGAGGTTACAGTCGAGAGATCTGTCACACTGTCTTATCACGAGGAAGAAGGTGAGCATGTCACGATATTTTGAGTTATTTTGGCCACGTACAAAATTAGCTTTCAATTGAAGGAAACCTAGAAGTAATAGTCTACTAAGATAGAAAAACACCAAAGGGTTAATAATAAACCATAAAGGAACAGGGATGGTTAAGGATGGAGAAGATTAACACGGATTACAAACGACAAATCTGAAAAATTAAGTTTAAACTTTCCGATACTCGCTAACCGTGATGTAGCTCCTTGGACAAAAATCTGACCGCGCTGAGCCTGAACTTGCTTGTGGCGAAAGAAAAAGTGCGTTATTCATTCCTTGTTTTTGGTTGGCTTTAGATGGGTAACGACTGGACGGAAAATAAATGAAGTTTAATATGATCGCAAGCTTTAAAATCTACATCAGCTAACACAAAACTGTATCGAAGTTAACGCTTGTGGCGATAAACGTAGTAGGAACATTGTACAGTGTACTAAACTAACGGTCTATTAACGGATTGGTTTTATTTTTGTTTCATTCAACAGCCGCCCCGGATTATCTCATCCCTTTAATTGCGTCACTTGTTGTGTTGGCTGCCATTCTTCTTCTCATACTTTGCATCAGAGGAAAGTGGCGAGAAAGACGTCGAGCGAACAGAGAAACACGATTAGCTGCAAGAACTACGTTGAAGAAGAAGAAAAATGCAACACAGGAAAAGCCATTGACTAACGCTAGAACTTACTATAACCAGACTTCCACCGACTCCACAACGTCTTCCTCGACGTCAACGTCGACACATTCGACGGAGCTAAGAAACTTTGAGTACAATCGAGCGAGTTTGCTCGACTCAACACCTTCCATGTGTTCTACACCTCAAGTACTGTCCCCGCCCCTCTCGCCTAAGGAGGAAGGCGCTAAAGATGAGTGGAGGAGATTTCGAGTGCAGCGGAACAGTACGCAAATAGAAATAATTGTATAAATAATTATTCGTGATTAATTATTATATCCTTCTAGAATTCATTTAGGAAAGGAAATGAAAAAATACACTATTGTTAATTTATTGTATCCACGAAAAAAAGTGTAGCTTTTGAAAGCAATTTTCTATAACTCCAAAAAGTTAAAATATGGCGGCTGAAAGAATTTATTTATAAAAGACAAATGTTGTTAAAAGGCATCAGGATTCCTGATGGAGGTTTTGTTGACAGGCCAACGTGTAAATAATACAAAAAAGTATTTAAATGGTTTTTAAAGCTGTAAATATGTATACTATTTAATTTAATATTTAAATGGCCTTGTAGTTCAGCTTGAACTGTGGTGAGTCAAACACATTCTCGTGTAAAAACTTATTCATTACAACGATTGATGTTGGTTCTAGTTAGCTGTTAATTCTTAAGAGTAAGTTTTGGAATAAGCATTTTGTAGCCAAATAGTTTTTTAAAAATAAGTTTAAAATAGACCCTAGAGTGTTGTTCTCTTAAAACTGTAACCCTATGGGGTCTGTTGACAGATGAAATTGCCAAATTATTTTATATAGAACGAGGCTGCAGGCCGCACCGACTGAAATTTTCTAAAAGTAAAAGTAAATTTGTTAAAAGTTTGAGATAGCCCTAGAATATTTTTGTAAATTTTCTCTGTTGTGGACTCCTGCGGTCCATATACTTAAACTGCCCAGTTTTTAAGCTTACATTTGGATTTTTATTTATCGCATGATTTATACAAATGCTTAATTAATGGTCTGAGCCTCGAACATCTCGCATCAGTCATGTGCACAGAAGTCACGGAAGCGTTGCGTGATCTGTCTCTTTGGGTAGTCACGTGAGCGTTGCGTGATCCAAATAAAAACTACAGGACTCGCATCTATACTTTATATACACGTCACGAGTGTTAAAAAGCCTATTTCACGAAGTTAAACAGTGATGATGCGACATGTGTTATTAAGTATTGTTAAACGTTTACAACAGCTCCATGTTTGGGAAACTTCTTAAAGTCGTGAGGGTAAAGCTCCGTTGCTCGTGGACATACGAAGATCTCCGAAGGCAACCGAAAGAATCCGAATATTTATTAACGCACGAGCGCAAGAAAAACTGTTTATTTCCACTTGCAACGGGATTTACACTTGCAAATTTAATATGGATGTAGCCATTACAAACTTGTTTCATTATGAAAGCTGTAATCGTTTGGTTCTGCGTTGGAAATGTATCGATATAGTATAGAGAATATATCTATTTGCCTGTCAACACTGGCTGCAAAATCTCCAAAGCTTGCTATGCAAAAATTAAAAGTTGTTTAAATTATTGTACAAGAAGAACTACTCAGTATTCTGTCAGGTTCTGAAATAATCATTGTGAAGTGCCGCCATTAATTGACATTCTCTCGTCGTAACGAGAGGTTAATTTGTCAGACCTGACTGAGTTAGTCTGTCATTTAAGTTCCTGTTCATTGCAGAAATAAACACACTTAACGACCATCGCCGTGCCTGCTTATTTCGTGTTTCAAAATGTATTCAGTCGATTGCACTCCTCTGTTGTCCAGGTTTGGGCGGCGAAATTGGCAGGGTTCTTCAGCACTGAAATCTAAGAGATACTGCTAAATTGGAAGCTAATCCACTTAAGTCTATCCCTGACACATTTGCCACGTTTCCACCTTATTAGGGAACGAAACTACCATTCGCGATACTGCGTCCAACACGCTATAAATGGCATCTGCATCTGAAGATTCTAATCCCGTTACGAACCAAATAATTGAATAGGCATTTTCCAAGTTGCCTTTTGCCTCTGTTGCAAAACCAGTCTTGGTGCGAAACCAGCATAAGAAAATCTGTTCCGCCTACAGGTTCATTTTCATGCAAATCAAACTCATTTTCATATGAAATGTTTTACGCGAAGACTCGTTTTGAAGCAGAGGCACGTGGTAACTCGAAAATGGCCTATTTTAAAACTCAAAAATGAAACAAAGACTCACCAGCGAAAATCCATATTACAGCGGGATCCCGGCACCCCGCCTTACGGCCACCTCGTTATTACGGCCACTCTATTATGGTCATTATGGCCCGAAAAAATACTGTAGTACTAAGAAAACAGTTAAATTTTAAAAGCGCGGTTATAAGATCTAACAGATCTTCTTGTTTAGCATGTTAAATGCTGATCGTGCCTTGCCGATCCTAGTTTTCACATCTGCGTCTGCTCCCCCACTTTTGTCCATTACACTGCCTAAATAGGTAAAAGACTCAACTTCCTCCAGTTCCTCTCCTTCAATTTTGACTGGCTCATCAGTGCCTGCATTGATCCTCATGATCTTTGTCTTCTGTTTTTTGAGCGTCAGTCCTACTTGCATTGAGGTGTGATGCAGGTCCGATGTTTTTTCCTGCATCTGCTGATGATTGTGTGACAGAAGCGCTAGATCGTCCGCAGAGTCCAGGTCGTCCAACTGGGATCACAAGGTCCACTGGATCCCGTTTCTTTTCTGGTTTGTGACAGCTCTCATGATCCAATCCATAGCCAAGATAAACAGAAAGGGTGACGACAGGCATCTCTGCCTCACCCCGGTCTTAACCTCAAACTTCTTTGTCAGTTGCCCCTCGTGAACCACTCTGCAAGACAAACCCTAATAAGAGTTCCGAATCAGATTGACGAACTTCATGGGTACACCATAATGTCGGAGCAGCTTCCATAATGTCTCCCTGTTTAGGCTATCGAAAGCCTTCTCGTAGTCGACAAAATTTACGTAAAGGGGGGAGTTCCATTCAATTGATTGTTCATCTATAATTCGCAGTGTTGTGATCTGGTCGGTACATGACCTGCCTGGCCTGAAGCCGGCTTGCTGATCGCGGAGGCTGAGATCTACCGGCCCTTTCAACCTTTCCAAGATGACTCTGTTCAGTACTTTCCCTGGCACAGACAGGAGTGTGATCCCTCTATAATTTGAT